AAAAAAAAAAATATATAACAAGAAAAATGAATCGAAAAAAAGATTTACAAAAGCTAGCGGTGCATCGATGGCGAAAACAAATAACCACTGAACAGCAACTATTTAAATTATTATGAATAATACTTATTTACACAAGCGAAGCTAGCAAACTGCGCAAAAAACGGTACCATGAAGTGAGGTTGGCTCGAAAAATTCGAAGCTGTCGAAGTGGCTGAATTTTGCCTCGAAAACTCAGAGACGCTGGCTACTGAAACAAAGCATTTTAATGCTCAGTTCATAAAAACACGAAAGAATAGATGCTCGTTTCCTCGCTAAGTTACTGTGGGTTATTTTCCAATCTTATAAAACTAAACCAGTCACTTATTGCTGAAAATCAAACTGTACGATAAGATCGTTACACTAGATAATTTTTCATATATTCACTTCAAAAAAACATGGGGAGAACAGAAAAAAGAAGAGTCACAGTAACTGAAAATGAATTTTTCTCAGTTCAAATAATTCGAATCAATGAACTTGTACTAATTCCTTAATATTATTTTCTCTTTTATTCTTCTTTCTACTTCAACATACCCTTCCACTCAAGAAATGAGGTTCTAATCGTCAACGGCTATGAAGTACTTCTCAAAAGGAAAACCACTGACAGATTTAATACAGAATGGTTCTTGTTGCTACGTTTTATCACTCGGACTACTTCTAAGTATATACATTTCTTATAAAAAGTGAATAAAGGTAAGGTTACGGCCTCAATCTGAGCATTTTAAATAACTTATAATAAAAATATTTCAAAACTTACGATTGCTATTTCCAGGAATATTTGCAGGCGCAGCAGGGACGATTGGTTGTACGGTGTTGCTTGGTGGAAAATGATCGGATGACTGAAAAAGAAAACTAGTTACTGGAGATCAAAAAATCGCCCATTCGCGCTTAAACAGGAACCATCAATCAAATGTCGATTCTCAAGGTTAAATCGAGCACAGTATCAAAATTCAACACCAAGAAATGTGAGAAAAATGTAAATTTTTGCAAAAAAGAGAAGAACCTGCTGCTGCGAGGGTGTGGATGGTGGATTACTGAGCCATTCAATGAGACCGTTGTAACGTGCGGCATGTTTGCACACTTCAAAAGAGACAATCGGCCCACTCGAGGCCATCTTTGATGCTGCCCTAAACGAGGAAAGTCATCACTGAAAATATCAATTTATCAATTCTAGTACAAAAACCCGCTCTCAGATCCATTCCCTCTCCCTTTTCATCCTCACTGGCCCTTATTCTGCTTATTCATCTCTTTCCCAAAATCGTCGGCCGAACAAAGAACCGCAAAAGGCAAAAGAAATAAAAAAAAAAAAACTCTGTCCTGACACCAGTATCAGTTTGTATCCCAAACGAACACATCTCTGTTTTGCAAAGCAAAGCAAAAATTTACGAATTCAAAAAATTCTTCAGATTTTTCTTTAATAAATTAGGGACGAGTATTTAAAACCATACTCTTCTTGGCTAATGCCAACAAGTGACTGGCCATTGACTGAGAGCAGCTGGTCACCAGGCTCGAGACGACCATCCTGAAACATTTCTTCTTATTAAAAAAAGAAATCAGTGAATGACAAACTGATTAAACAAATGAACAGCTGGAACAGGACCGAGAGGTTTGTACAAATGTAACTTGCCAGAATATTCCTATTTTTGGATTTTTGATTTTACCATGTTACCAAGTCCTTGATTCACAATGTCCCTTTCTAATTTTTCCCTTCCACTTCCTTTTCTACTTTTTTTTACAAAAAGGTAATTTAACACTGCTGCCAAATTGACCACAAAACAATGGAGTACTGATCAAAGTAACTTGAAAAGTTGCCAACTGCACAGATGAAGAAATGCACTAATGAATTAACAGCTGACCAAGTATCACTGTCGCTAATATTTCAGGATGGGCAACCTGACAGGAATGATAATTTATCTTGGCACTTATTCTACTTCGTACTTGTTCGAGATTATTTAATAAAAAAACATAAGAGGCAAACCCGCTGGGCAGCACTTTGATCCACCACTTTTTTTACGTAAATTCCGACAGATCGTTCTCCAACTCCCTGAATCACGCAAAACATCATCGTAACGCTGTAACTTACGCCTTTCTTCACGTGTGGGCTCAGAGTCAGATCAAAATATCTTCAGTAAAAGAAAAAAATACTGAGGCAGAAGCAATTCGAAGTAGCCCAAATGAGTTACAGTGCCGAAGAAATTTTTGTAGATGTCAGAAATGCAGCAGACAGGAACCACAGTAGGCGTAAGAGACAGTAAAAAATTTCTTTCGCAAGCAATTTTCTCTCACTGAAGCTGAGTTTCCTCATGTAAAATGTTCACTAGACAAATAAATAGGGAGAGTGAGGTAGCACAGAGAATTGTCACTTATAATATGTATTTTTCATATCGTCTCATCGCCCGGATCCTTCAAATACAGGAGGCGCTCATACAGTAGACAAGTTGATAATCGATTTGATGATATCCAAGCCGTTCTAATATGCTGCCAAAACTAGGAAGACAGAGGGAGAGAGAGCTGAAAATGAAGCATGAGGGAATTCAAAATTTGAGGTATGCAAATTTCTCACGCAGTTACAGTAGTAGTAATTCAGTCCTGAAATTTAAAAGCAGGACAGCAGAGGCATGAACGGATGGAGGACGCCGCTGCTGGAGGGTAGCAACACAATATCCATCATCAACAACTACAATGTGCTGTTGCAGATCGCCTTAGCGATAATGAGGAACATCTCACACTTACATCAGACGACACACATTTACAATTATTACCACTGTCACCAATGCTACCTCCATCAACTACTAATGCGTAGATGCATTGTTCAAGATACAACATTTTAGGAGTAATTCATAGAGGAAAATGCTTTTTCAAGGAATCAAAGTTCAGGAAAAAGCAAAAAAAAACAAAAAGACGACTTCATTTTAAAGTACGATAAAAACAGCTGCTTTAAAGGCTCCTTACATTAAAAAATCAAGAAAACAACAGATTAGAAATTAGAAGAAAAGTTTAAAAAGAGATTAAAAAGTCAGGAGAAAAAATTAAAATTAGAGTCAAAAAA